TCTGACAAATCTCAACATTTGGGCAAATAATTGGCTTATAAACTTTAATCCAAACAAAACAAAAGCTATTTTATTTAGCTCCAAAAAAACAGAAAATTATCCGAGTCTGATATTCGATAATCAAGCACTTGAAGTGGTTAAATGTCACAAACACTTGGGCATTACCCTTTCAAATGACGCCAAATGGACCAACCATATAGAAACTATTATTTCGTCCACCTCAAAATTATTAAATATTTTGCGTAAACTAAAATTCACCTTTAATAGACAAACTCTAAATAACGCATATTTGATATTCATAAGGCCGAAATTGGAATACGCTTGTGAAGTGTGGGATGGGTGTAACGTTTCCAATACCGAAAAACTTGAAAAGGTACAGCTAGAAGCTGCCAGGATTGTCACTTGACTAACTAAAACTTGTTCTCGTGAAGCGCTTTATTTTGAAACCGGATGGAATAAATTGTCAGACAGACGTACACAAAAGCGACTAACTACATTTTTTTCAAATTAAAAATCAGAGAAACCCAGTATACTTATATAACATTCTAGAATATTATCAACAAACACCACAAAAATACAATTTAAGAAACATTAGCGAATATAGATATCCTTATTGTAGAACAACATTACACCAAACTTCGTACTTCCCCACAACAATTCGAGGTTGGGAATTATTAGAGGACCCCATAAAGCAATCAACCAACATTAAATCCTTCAAATATCTATATAAACAAAAAATTACGTTCCTTAATAAATAAAGCGCCAATCTACTACTGTAAAGGTAATAGACCTGAAAATATTATTCACACTAGAATACGGCATGGGTGTAGTTCGTTGCAAAATGATTTGTATGAAATAAACGTTGTGAATGATCCCACATGTTCTTGTGGCAAATTTATAGAAAATGCCGAACACTATTTCCTGCAATGTCACTAATATGATGTAATTCGTGCCGAACTATTAAATACATTGTCAAATTATTCTGTGATAAATATAGATATCCTATTGTGCTGCAATTCAGAATTGTCAATTGAGATGAATACAAACCTTTTCCTTGAAGTTCACAAATATATCAAACTTTCAAAACGATTTAAATAAAAGTTATTGTTAGTAGTTACATCTTAGAATAAATTATTAGCTATAGCTTTTTTGGTGGATAACATTTATTATTGTATATACTATTTCGCAATCTTGTTTGTATTAAATTTTGTCTGTCATTTGTATGTATGGAAAGGGCTTTTCTAAGTTTTTGAAACTTGTGCTCAATCCTTTTGATATTTGTCAATAAAATATGTTTAAACCAATGAAACCGTTAAACAGATTTCCACATAAGCATTGCACAAATAGACGCAGAATCAACCAAATCTAGCAATATGAATTGCATCTATACATTTGTTACCATGTGTTACATACGTCAAAAAAGTGATCCTGACAAAATTTATTACTAACTTACCGATAAGTTAGCTCACTTTCTAATGGGAAATTAAAATGGGAAAAAAATCTATAAAAGTCATCCTGACAAAATTGGTTATTTCTCTATATGTCCATTGGAATCAAATATCAAAATTGTTAAACGAATAATAAATATAACTCACTTCTAAAAAAATATTTGTTTTGAAAGCTAAAAATACAGTTTTTGGCCAAATGAGATTACTTCCGGTGATAATTAAAATGTTAAATTAGTTCTATGAAATCATAAATGGCATAAGGCATCACATGGTGAAAATTTTATGTAAATCAAATAATAATTGCCACTTTTATAGACCAAAAACCTTGAAAGGTGACTTGTAGAAAACCGTCTATTTCTCTGCAACCGTACAAGTTAGAAACCATTTTCTGGTATCTGTATGATCGTTTGGGTTCTACCTATTTGTTGATTGGACTCAAATATCATAATTTTAAAAACATTACAAATCAGACTCATTGAATAAAATATCTGTTTTGAAGGCTAAAAATACAGTTTTAGCCAAAATGACGTTACTTCCGGTGATAATGAAAATCTTAAATTACTTGTATGAAATCGTAAATGGCATTAGGTATCACACAGTGAAAATTTTATGAAAATCGAATAATAATTGACAATTTTATGGACCAAAAACCTTGAAAAGTGACCTGTTGAAAATCGCCTATTTCTCCGCAACTGAACAAGTTAGAAATCATTTTTTGACATCTATATGATCCCATGGGTTCATTCTATTAGTTGATTGGAATCAAATATCAGAATTTTATACAAATAACAAATACGACTCATCTGAATAAATTATTTGTTTCGAAAGCTATAAATATAGTTTTTGCCCAAATTACGTCATTTCCGATGACATTGAAAATGTTAAATTGGTTTGACCTAGTCACAATTGAAATTACGCATCAAATGGTATCACTTTTATGATAATCCAAAAATAATTGACTCTTTTACAGGCAAAATAGCGTAAAAAGTGACACTTGCAAAATTGACCATTTCTCGGCAACTGCTCATATTACAAACTAATTTTGAGACAGATTCTCTTTGTTTGAATCAATGCTACAAGTTTATGAAAGTCACAAAGAAATATTTTCAAATACGAAACTCCTGAATGGGTTGTAAATAGCTCAATTTTACACCGTTTTTCACCTTTAAATCGAAATGGCGCAAAAATGAAATCGAACTTGGTGCAACTTCTTACTTTTTACTTATTTTAAAAAAAATAATATTTGCTTTCGAAAAGACGTTCCTAACCGCCAAAATTGTAGTTTTGGTCAAAATTACGTCATTTCTGCTGCTGACAGAAAGCTTTATCGGTAATAAAAAAGTTGAGACTTTGCACCATTGAGCATATGAACTTTGTTTTATACAAATCGAGCAATAAATAATTAACCTAGAACCCATAAACTGAATTAGCCAATAGCGGCCAAGGTGAATTATCGACGATACAAAAAATTTGCATATTATTGCTCAAATCACACGACCCTTTAATTATAGGTTAAGCGCCATAAAAAAATATTTATAAATAAAAAAGTTTTTTGTCAAAATTTAAATTTTTAAAATTTGGCGCCTAATATCTTCGAAGATTAATCGAAAATAAAAAAATCTAAACGATCGTAGCTATTTGCCGTGTCTCAGGCTATGTCAAAATGTATCAAATGTTAAAATCCGACAATTATTGTTAATATTACGGCAATATTTCAAAAAACGACAACTTCGGTGATTTCGGACATTTCGCATTGTCACAGAAAGTTCGAAATAGCTTTAATCTCTAAGTCACACCCACTTTCCCAGTAAAACCGAAGACATCGAGTTGATCCGACAAATAGTTTCTGAGATATGCTCAAGTGGAAAAAAAAATAATAAGAAGAATAATAATCTTAACAAAACCCTAATAATAAGAATAGTGTGAAACCCTAATAATAATCCGAACAAAAACAAAAGTGTTTCATACAAGCTACGCAGTGTGAAATCCTAATTATTATTTGGAATGACGAAATTGGTAGTGAACGAAAAAGCAATCTGATTAAAATGCAGATGTATATTTCGTTTCGTGTTTTATACTTTTGATGGCCTACACTACATGAAGATCTGACCAGTTGTACTGGGAGGTCACGTCAGGAGTCATACGAGCGGCTTTTGACCCTATGACGTCAGACATTGATTAATCAATCAGCGTTTACGTTTCTAGGGGTTTACCTACAGAACTCACTGTAACGGACCGTTTTATTGGCTAATTCCTCACATCAAGCAGAACGCCTGCTATATAACAACTCTTCCAGATCCTACTTGAAGACAAGTAAAACGAAAGTTTGAACTATAAAAAACGAAACGAAATAGCATCTGGGTTTTAATCAGATTGAACAAAAAAGCTAACGAGAAAACCGAATGGTTTCTGTCCCCAAAATGACATTTTGACCCCCCCCCCCCTCCGCCCGCCCCATACAATGGAAATCTTACACACATATTTACAGATGTGCAGCGGAATTAAAAGTAATGTTTTTACCAAGCTCTAAGAAAATCATCATTTAAATGTCCAGGGGCATCATATACACTTCTTTAGAGATGGACAGTCCTAGAAATTTATGTTTTATTAATACATGTATATAACATGATCATCATTTATATCAACATAATGACATTTCCCCCAATTGTAGCACCCTGCACGTTTCAAGTCAGTAGCTTGAAGCGTATATATGGTATTAGTGTCAGTGGCTTGTGGCACGAAGTAACAGTATATTGTCGCATACATAATATATTATGTCAACGCTTGGGCGACATAATATATTGTGTTGACGCTCCAAGCGTGTTAGCATATTAGACCTGTAGACTCAGTGGAATGTACGCGTCATCAGAGCGGATCCAGGGGTTGGACCATGGGGACCGGTCCACCCCCTTAACAATAGAAAGTGTCCCTGTAAATAAAAGAGGGCATCCTTATCATAAAAAGGGCACCTGTGATGTCAGAATTTCAAAAAAGGGCACTTTTCTTTCGGATTAGGGTTAGGGTTAGGGTTAGGACACAGAAAAGAGAGAAAAAACAGAAAAGAAAAAAACAATCGAAACTTACCGATTCCATGATGGAAAATACCGCCAAAATATGTCTCCAAAGCATTCATTGGTTATCAAAGCGCCAATTAAATCTATCGTTGCAAGTTCATGCCTAGTCACCTCCATCCTAGTTCCAAGCGTTGACATAATATATTATATCGCCCAAGCGTTGACATAATATATTATGTATGCGACAATATACTGTTACTTCGTGCCACAGGCCACTGACACTAATACCATATATACGCTTCAAGCTACTGACTTGAAACGTATCGCCTGATTGTAGACATTGGACCCCCATATTTCGAAAACGCCCCTCAAACGCCTGATCAACACCCAGATTCGGAATCTACGCAAAAAACTGGTCTAGAAAAACTTGGTCTCATAAATTCACAGCTCGGGTGGCGATTCCCCCCCCCCTTTCAGCCACCGGACTTATATACGTCCACATGAAAATGTGGGCGTAAAAAAAAAACGAAACGAAATATAGATCTGTATTTTAATCAGATTAGGGAAAAGTAGACCAGGCATTTACCATTTGAACAATGTCTATGGTTTTAAATAATACATTTATTTATTCATTTAATTATCAAATATATTGATTTATTCGACAATATTCCCTCAGCAATCTACTATATAAATCATGCTTATTATCAAATATTTGTACACAAATAAATTTTAAATATAAAATAATATCGGTAGATCATCAATAATTATTGACCAAACATGTAGCGTTGTGCTGGTATATAATGTACAACCGTCCTGGAAAAAAGGAGAACATTAATTTTAGAGCGTTTTAGTACATATTATAATATAATAGGCATTCTTTCGGGAATGGGACCCACTATCCTTCTAACGATGTATACTAAATTTCTACACACAACTTAACTTTTGTGAGTTTATACCTACATGTGGATAGAACTGGTTCCACTTCTGATAGTGATAATAAGGAATCTGAATGTACGTTGGCACTGTTATGTCAACAACCGGGCCTCTGGCGCCAAAATTCCTTGACCACGCACCCCCCCCCCTCTCCGAAAGAACAGCCATTTCAAATTTGAGATAAAGATGGACAAGTGAACTGTTTGCGACCATATTGTATCTTTAACTAATTATTGGGTTCACATATATATATTGTGGCTGATTGGTATCATGTCGTGATGTCGTGGTGTCGCCCTTTATAACGCGACAACCCGACAACCCGATATCACGACATTTTAACCCGGCACTACGACAACCCGACATCATGACATTTTAACCCGACAATACGACATTTTCACCCGACACCACGACATTAAAAATGTCCCGTGTATACATTGGCGTGCACGTAAAAGATCCCTTGGCAATTGGAATTCGATATAAGAGTAGGCCGTAGCGCCGCTGTCCGGGCAAAATGTCCCTCATAACACACTGAATGGTGTAAGCCCGTCTTCATTAGCCCAGTCGGAGAAGAACTGGGCTAATGAAGACGGACACACCCTATACAGTGCACTATGAGGGAAACTTTACCCGGATAGCGGCGCTACGGTTTACTCTTATATTGAATTCCAACTGTCAGGGGGTCTTTTACGTGCACGCCCATATGTAAATGGGGTCTCGGTTTTTTGTCCCATCCGAACAACTACACGTTATCCCTTACTAGGCCCCCAGTCCTGCACCACTGTCAAAGAGAAATCACTCAGGAAATGGGATGTAATGTCCTACTTTTCTGGTAGTCACGGTGACTCAGTGAGTAAGACGTTGGCTCGCTAACATTGAGGTCTCGTGTTCGATTACTGCTTTGGTCGAGAAAGCTCATCGTGAATTTTCCGGCGTGATCCCTCCGGAGGGCCTGGTAGGGGATAACGTATAGTATTTTCGATGGAACGAAAAATCGGGGTTCCGTGACATTTCTTCATCGAAATTCAACTGTGAAGGATTCTTCGTGTGAAAATATCGTATTGTCTGGTTAAAAATGTCGTGATATCGGGTTGTCGCGTTGTCGTGGTGTCGGGTTGTCGGGTTGTCGGCTTACGAAGGGTGACACCAGGACATCACGACATGATACCAATCAGCCACCATACATATATGTATTGCAGAGAAGTCCTATCTCACGTACTTAAAAAAATATATTGAGTGGTTGACACATTAAAAAATTTGTAAACCAAAACATAGATGATTCTAGGTGAACCCGGAATATCATGTTTATCACATGTGTTGAAAAATTCCTATTACATCATTTGGCTTAGTAACCAATCATTATATTAATTACGTAATATACTAAACAGCAAAAGAAACTTGCATAAAACTTGCCAAATGTTTTTATTGTATATTTGTGAGCACATCTCCAACTTTACCTGAGCAATAAGGCTCCTTCCCAAACACAGAATTGAATCCAGGAAATGTTCTCAAAAACGCAACCTGACTTCTGAGATGGTAATGTGTTCTCCGTGATTTTCATGTAACTCATGCTGCACGCGCTGTTCACCGGGACCAGCCCTATAAAATGCACCCTCCACACCTGGTTGAATCATTCACACTACAACGTCAGCAGCATGCCACGACTAACGACAGCTCAGAGGAACCAGGTGCTTGGAAGACTCGACGCTGGTCACACTGCCCTAGCCGTTGCCAATCACTTCCAGGTCAAAGTTAGAATCATCTACAGGCTTCGGCAACGCTTTCGGGCCACCAACACCACGGATGATCTCCCCAGAACTGGTAGACCAAGGGTTACCACAAGGCTATAAGTCCGCCATGTTGTGCGACAGCACGTGCAGAATCCCTTCACACAGGCATCTAAGACAGCACGTCAGACAGTGGGAACACACGGAAGACCCATCAGTACCGATACAATGTGCCGACGTCTCACCAGAGAGAACATCCATTGCCGTAGATCTTACCGTGGACCGATCCTCACCCCTCCCCATCGACGCGAACGTCTACAGTTTGGCCAACAACGTCTACAGTTTACCTGGCGACACAGGCAATGGAGAACTGTTCTGTTCACAGATGAGAGTCGGTATTGCGTATCAACTGCAGATGGCAGGACCAGAATATGGTGTCGACGTGGCCAGCGTTATTCTGACCAATGTGTCATGGAACGAGACTCATGGGGAGGTCCAAGCATAATGGTTTGGGGTGCAATCGGCCTGAATCAGAGAGTGGGTCCTGTGGTGTTCCAAAATCTTGGCCCAGGGAAAGGAGGCGGCATCACAGCAGTGCGCTACATCGATCAAGCTCTCAGACCCAACGTCATACCACATTTCGCACGTCATCGAAACAACATTTTCTAGCATGACAACGCCCATGCGCACACCGCCAGAGTTACTTTCTACAGCAGAGCAGTGTCAACGTTATGCACTGGCCAGCCGTTAGTCCGGACTTAAACCCGATTGAACATCTTTGGGATGAAATTCAGAGGAAATTTTTCTCAGCGTGTGGTTCCAGGTGCCAATGGCGTTCATCAATCGTCTGATCCACTCCATGTACAGTCGCTGCGCTGCTGTTATTGACACTCACGGTGGACACACCAGATACTGGTTTATAGACTGTGTACGGACTCTAAACCTTCTCGTAATATCGTGGAATTGTGATGAATTAATCACTAATGTGTCAACATACTGCTCACAAAAAATTTCTTTAATCCATTTGGTAAGTCGTTTTCTAGAATGATTTGATTAAAGTGCCTCTTTGATTTTGAAATCGTACTAACGTTTTTTTTTTTTTTGTTTTTTTTTTTTGTTTTTTTTTTTTTTGCTGTTTAGTATATTTGTCCAATTAAATAATTGACAGAGCTGTCTCTAGGACACTGTCAATGTTATAAGACTAATTTGGGTCCTATAGAATTTAGACAGCCGCTTAATTCGGGAGAGACCGCCGAGGTTCAGACACCAGCTGGATGGAGTACACCCCGTTGATTTGTAGGAGAGCCGTATGATGTTGGCATCCGTCGGTAAACTCGGTCTGCAAATTGGGGGGGGGGGGGGAGACAAGTTAATTTTAAGTATTGTATCCAGAGCTTAATATAAAATATAGAACTGATACATTGTTATTCCTGGTAAGACAAACGTTTTAACTACTGAGATAGTAAGAACAAAATACACAACGAGAAAAGGAATCCCAAAGCGGTGGACACACTTGCCAAATGATTCGGCCTAATCGTTCGGCGTCGAAATTCACCTGGTGTGTCCACTGTCATTCGGCAGAATTTCTATTCGGGCAAATGATTCGCCCAAATCAATCATGTTTGATATATTCGGCCGAATTTTCACTCGGCCGAATTATATTCGCCCGGTGTGTCCGCCAATCACCACTCATCATCCATTCATATCGAGAAGTCACGTGATTGTTTGAAGACATAGAGGACGCCATGTTTAATCATGTGACGTGAAAGGTGATGCAATCGACTGGTGAATCGGGCGAAGCATTCTTCTAGTGTGTCTACCCATTAGGCCAAATAAAATTCGGCGCCGATTGATTTGGCCGAATGATTCGGATGATGTGTCCACTGCATAAGAAGAGAATTACAAATACTAGACGATCACAAGTTTATCAAAATAAGTAGCAGAAGAGAGTACGCGTCACACGTTGGATGTGGGGAGTTTTGGGCTTACTGGCTTTCCACACCTGATCAGCGACGCATAGCGCTGCATGGTACTACACTGTATCATTGTCCAGAGCATTCACACGACTATGCTCTTTGAACTTACCTATTTTCACCGAGTCTTAATTGCGTTTTAAGAAAGTCTAGTAATGGCGGTGTGTAGGTGGGATTTCTTTGTTCATCAAATACATCAATCGAATAAAGCTGCATAATACATGCTGGTGCTGTACTCTCTTTACGATACACCCGCGCCCCACTATTTATTACAACTTGCATAGCCTGAGAGAGGAAACAATAAAAAGAATATCTTAAATAAAATGTTGTGCACTGATAACTTAATTTTCAGTGTTCCCGTACACGTCATAGAAAGTAAACTCATCGATGTCTAAAGGGGAATTATATCATGACGTTCATTAAGATGGTAAGCCAGATGAAATGGGGTTTAACGTCCTACGTTTCTGCACCAACCGTGATAATTGAGTTTGGCATACACCATGCGGTGCACTATTATGCATGACTCATATGAGGGAAATTATGCCCGAATAGTGCCGTTGCGGCTACTCCTTTATCGAATTCCTACTGTTAAATGTTCTTTTACGTGCACGCCAACGTGCAACCAGCATGGGACCTATATTATTGACTCATCGGAACGAGTAGACGATGTACTATGCTTGGCTGTCCTTTCTGCACCAGGGGATGGAAACCGTGGTTACAAGATGGTAAGAGTAATCTGCCTTGTTCAAAAGTCTTTTTGATTCCCGGTATTGTTTTCTACTTTCCACCAAGTGGATTAAACATTTCTGGACAATGGGTGAGGTCAGAACAAAAAGTTAGTGCTAGTGTTAGAGTTTGTGTCATTAAAAGAGTTAGCCCCAGCCCCTTAATCTGATTACAGATTCCACTTTGGAAAATATATTAAATTTCAAAATTGAAACTCATGGTCATTTTCCATAATTGGTTTGTTGCTATCCACCGCTAAGTACATTATCAGTGGATAATTATATATTTCATGTGAGACAAGCAGTAAAACTTTATTTTTTACTTCATTTTTTTACCTCTAAACTTTAAACTGACTCACTGTTTTGACCTCAACCAAATTTATAACATTATCTTGGCTTTTGATTACTCAAGTGCAGTGAAATCAACACTAGTGTCACTCTAGTGTTTCCCTAATCTTAGAAGTTTTACTATTTTTTTTTATCATGGGCTCCAATAGAACACTGCCTCTATCCCCTAAGGGTTAACACGTCATCGAGGTCAAAAGTAAGATGTAATGTGTTATCTAAATTTCATAAAATGTTGTTATTTTGTCGTCTAATATCATTATTCAATATTAAAAGTTCTTTAATATTTATATAAAACACACAACAACGGATATGTGTTGGGGTCAATTCTTTAGAAGTAAGCCAAAAAATTATCGAAGCAGGATAAGCGGTAGCCATGTTTGAATTTGTTTCGGGTAACACCAGTGTTGTCTGGAGACACTACCTTGTAATTCTATCTACAGTTGGCATAACATTTTATTTGATGTCAAAAGTAAGGAAAATAGTTACACTAGTGTTACATTACGTCATAACTATTTAATCCAACATTTTGACCTCACCAATTGTAAACTTAATTTCCTTCAATGAACACAGGAGATGTTTTCGTAACGGAATAAACACGCTTTAAATTCCAGAAGATTGGAACCACTACTATAGAACATCAAAAAGTTCAGTCTGCGGGAAATTGCTGTAAGTTTAAAAGAAACATCTTGAAACCACAGGATTCAAAGAAACAGTCATTTTGAAACCGTCTGATAGAAAAAGAGGGAAAACAAAGAAATAAAACCGGGTTGGAAATGTGAAAGCGCTCCATATTTTGTTAATTTCTAATAAATATTTAGGCGAAACATGCAGTAACTGTTATTAAACAATAACAACCAATTTGAAACAATCTGAAAATAATATATGAAAAAAAACCAACCAACTCAAAACATTCTGTAGTAACAATCTGAGAAACATTCTATAGCAACAGCAAACATCTTAAAGGGCCTCAACCTGTAACTCAATATTATCCATAATATTCGAAAATAAAACATAAATTAGAATTCAATATTGGTCAATTTCAATCAATATTGATGTTGTTATATGGCGGTGAAAATATGGGATCCTAATATCTAATATTTAAGACACAACGGACATTTTAATATCAGTGCTTTATGGACATTATGGTTTCGAGTGCCATTTGTAATGCACAAAGAAAAACATATCCCAGTGGAAAATTTGTAAGTAATTAAAAATGGCTGATTCACAAACCGACAAAATAATGAAAAAACGTGTAGAATGGACTGTTCGCGTATTTCCCCGAACATTATTGATTATATTACTAAGAAAAATATTATAAATTGGATGTAAATCCCTTTATATATATATATATATATACACTCATATTACATTTGCATATGCTTTTCGACCCATTTTCGTCTTTTTATGGTGCCAAAAAATAGAAATTTACACCCTTTAAAATAATCTGAGAAATATTCTATATACTGATCTACAGAAATTGGACTTACAGAAAGTGGTTTGTTTAATACACTGGCAACTTTCTCTGCCAATTTGGCTTCAAAATCATTCGGTATGTCTTCGCTTTTACGATTGGTATTTACTATACACATCGGCATGATAATAGTTCTGAAGAATAAAAAAATAAAATAAATATTGTTTAGATATTGTTGCAAAAATGTCGGTAATAAAAAGATTTTCACCTTTGCATGTTCTTATCTTGATAATTGAACGGGCATATACGAACACATTTTTTTCTTAAACTTAATGATACATATAGTTATTTGATTTAACGGTTATGAATTTGCCACGAGACATTAAAATGCAGTGTCTTAAGATTACATATTTTATGATTAGTGTAAATTATAAAACGTTCATAATAATAACGAATACGCAACTACACTATACAGGCACGGCCGAGTGGGGGGGGGGGGGCTTTAGCAAGTACTCTTTTCTTCAGGTTATTGCACGCAAGTAACTATTCAGTTAGATACAGTGACGTCACTGGAAGGGACATGACTTTAATATAGAAGTGAGACTTCTAGAAGTAGAACGTAGACTTTCAGAAGAAACAAAACCCTGCTATTCACTATACTGATCCCTGGGTTAAGAGCCCCCCCCCCCCCCAATCGGAAATAAATTGTGTCCACGACAAGGCGACCTTCGGTTGCACGAATTTCCGTACTCTAGTCGAACTATCTGCATGCGAATGACGATATAGCACGGTCGAGATAGTTCAAAGATGGCGGAAAAGACTGACACGTGTGTAGATTTGTCTGAAAAATATCATAAAATTGCCAATTGTCAATGCATTATTTACACCATGGACCATATTTCAGGGTCCATGTTAACACCTGTAAATCAGAGAATATATATAGGCCAAGGACCAAAAACTTTGTGAAATGATCCATGTTACCAGTTAACCCGGATGGAGTCAGCTTTGTAAGAAAATGTTTAAATGTTTTAAAAGCATTTCTTCATCCCCATCGTCAAAACATAGTTTTAAAAATGAGTAAATGGCAGAAAATATAGCAGGCAAAACAACTGACATGGGCGCCGCCATATTGAATAACCAATGGTCCGGGCCATTTGCGTTCGGGTGCTGGTTTAGACTGTAGTCGCGACCACAGTTTACACCCGAAGGTCGCCCTGGGTATTGTATGCTTATACACTATTTGCGTAAAGAGTAGCGGCCATTTGAACTTTGAATTTGATCTCAGTCGTAATGGTGTAACTGTGGTATATTTGAACGGTTTTTACAATCAATAAAATTTGTGACCTCGAGAGGGCCCACAAGCTAAAAGTGTGATTTTTCGTACAATCAGGGGCCATAATCCAAGAAGTTACGGTTCGATATGCGACAATATCGACAGCAACCGAGATCTTTGAGTTATAAACATACATTGTAAGTATTATTATGCATATATTTGTCCAGTTCAACATCACAGGAAATCACCATCGTCTGCAGTGCTTTCATGGTAAGGGATTAAAACATAAACATAAAAACTTCAATGCTGAGTAATTTTACTAGTCAGAAATCGCTTAGAAAGCGTCTCTGACGATCTAGACCTCCATCCCCTACCCCCGTCAAGAATTGGTTCCGCCGATCCTGCTTTACTAATGCGCTAATAGTTCAATATGGGCGTAATTTCTCGTCGTTCCTGTTCGTCACCAATTACATTCACTAAAAACCCTTAAACGCAATAGAGGCTACAGTCTTACGGGATTTTTGGTCAAATTGGGGTCATGAGAGGATGTACACTATCGATTTTCATTCTTATGCAACCTTTTATGCCGATGTTATGGCCCCCTTTTCCGAAACCATTGTTAACGTAATATAGATTCTACAGATTTTAATGCATTGTTTTCAAATTTGGTGTGACGGTGGATCCTTTTGCTTTTCAGTCCAGTCAGGGGATGAATCCTGTTGATTTTCAAATCTGCCGTGAAGCATTGGGATCGAAGACGATAAACCGTGTTGCGGCATTCTGCTTCAGCTCCTGAACACGATAGAGATAGGCCTAAGCATAAGGATCCTTCTCAAGTTTGATCAGTATCCAAGTTTCGTTTTCATAAGCAGTTGTCTATGGCTATATATCTTTTTGAGAGACATAACTGCGTTGTGGGCGTATTTCTAAGCTTAGTGTGGTTAATTTTATTGTAATTTCACTATATCCCGGAAGCGATGGTTATGAACATTATCATGTAATTCCAAACATTTATGTACCTTCTTGGTATATAGTTTCAATATCGCATACTCCTAAAGCGATTGTTATGGGCATTATCCGCTTATTAAAAATTTCTTTGCTACTGCGGTCATGCTTGAAATCAACTGCTACATTTCCCAAAAGCTTAAACTTTCCCCTTAACTAGGGCTAAATTTGAATCCTTCAATCCAATTAAGGAAGTTGTAAAATGTAGAAGGGATAATTGCGGTACGTGTAGATATTTAATTCAGCGTAAATCATTTATATGTGACGGTGGAAAGAATTTTTTGTCAGTGAAAGTATGAACTGTAAAGTAACTTATGTATTATATATGTCATAAAATGTAGGCCTAGTGACTGTGCCGAACTGTCCAACTTTTGCACTAACATTTACAAAACAGAGTAACGGTTCATAGACAACATATCAGGGAATCAAATTTAAACATACATTATGCAAGAGCTAAATCTGGTTATAGCAAGTCTTTATTTAGGCTTCAGATGTCATAGAAATTATAAATTAGATCTTTATTTACACAACAAGCACAAAATCAACTCTGTAGACCCACGGATGGCTTGGATTTAAACAGGATTTCAATGATTGATTAAATTTTTAAATGGCGTCGTAAGCGGAGATTAACCGTTACGTTGACGGCATACTCCCGGAAATTTTAGATCGAGGCTAAATTGATAGAGTGTACGAAGCGAGGCCGTTGTTGAGCGAGGCCGCATGTCAGTCAGTTTGATTGAAAGTTCGATATATACGGCCTTGATATTATGTTTAGTTGTGGTTAAAATGAGAGTTTGGATGTCGGTATTATACGCTCTTTTGTCACTTGCATTTACAGAACAATTATGGAAATTGATAAACATCGCAGCTAACATGACCCCAGTTGAATTGCAGCCCCATTGGATAACTGTTTCCTATTTTTCTGCTTCGGGAGTTGCGTAGGCCTACCAGTTACAGTACAAGAGTACACGCAGGCTAACAAGAAGTCGGCTATAATTATGCCTCATTGATTCGGTCCATTCCTTTCAAACTTTCGCTTCTTATCTATATATTAAAAGTCTTATTTTTAATTTGTAATAAAAATAAATGTGACACGAATTGAATTGCAACCCCGTCTCAAACCAGCCATTGGAAACGTTACTTGATAATCGAGATTATGTAGGTGGAGTTAACGCCTGTCAATCAAACGATCGGCCATTCTCGGAGACGGTGAAGAGAGAGTTGCCTCCTATTTCTTGGTGATAACTTTGTTCAGAATAAAGTAATTTGACTGAAATTTTCAATATATTCTTCTTTCATCATCTATTTTTGAACTGTTATAGCAAGAATGGCCAACTCTTTCTTAAAATCTCCCATAATGTATCTTTAATGCCCCCGCCAGACCGGGTGGCGTCCTTACTGCGCTGCTGCGACCGTACAGCGACTAGAAAATGCACAAGGTCGCCGGCAAACGTAAACATAACGCGAGAAATTGTCCCAAAAAATTTACAAACTTGATAAAACTCTCGTTCTTTACCCCGTCATACCGGGGTGGCGCCTTGGCTGCGCTGCTACGGCGACGGAAAATGGCCCCAGAGCGTGTCAAGATCGCCATAATTGTGGTAAAAGCGTGGTGGAAACGCCAGATATCGCGCTGTGGTCTCGATGGTCGCAAAAGATCGCCGGGTCACGGCGTTTGTTTTGAGCATGTTCAAAACAAACGCCAAGGTTCTGCGATCTGCCCTGGAAAGATGTGAAAACGCAAAGTTTGTAATATTTTGGGACATTTTCGTACGTTGTGTTCACGTTTGCCGGCGACCTTGTGCATTTTCTGGTCGCCGTACGGTCGCTGCAGCGCAGTAAGGACGCCTCTCCGGTCTGACTGGAGCATTACAACTTTCAAAGTTAGATCGCAAAGCCTTGGCGTTTGTTTGGAACATACTTAAAACAAGCGCGGTGACTAGGCGATCATTCACGACCATGGAGACCACAGCACGATATCTGGCGTTTCCGCCACGCGTTTACCGCGCTTATGGCGATCTTGACGCGCTCTGCGACCATTTTCCGTCGCCGTAGCGTCGCAGTAAGGACGCCACCCCAGTCTGACGGGGGTATAAGGAAGGTCCCTTTAAGTGGGACCCTTGATATCTGCGGTAAAGGCGAGTTCAAAATATCGTTCTTTAAGATGTCGTATTCAGATCCCATGAAAATGAGATTGAAGGAACAATATTTTATTGACAAATTTAAACCCAAACTAAATATTTCAAAATAATTACAATATTATGCTAACTACATCTACTTCATTATTATTTTATTATATTATTGTATTATTATTCTTCCATGATGTCACGTCATTGTGTTTGTTATTGTGTGTCTTGATAAACTCAAGCGAAACAATCAAACATGTAGTCAATTAAACGATAAACGATAGTACTTTCTTTAAGCATTTTCAAACTTTATTTATTCTATATTTATTTATTCTACATATACTCTTCCAAAAAAGTAGGGGATATTCAGAAACAATACAAAACTGCGGTAATGCACTGCTGTTTTTATTAGAGGTAACCAGTGTATGTTAATAACAGGCCAATTGCCTACACATGAACATAAACAGTTCATATGGGCGGCTTATCTGACGGCCCCATTTCACTCACAAAGAGATTTTTCTCTTAATAATGAGTAATTGCTCCACCAATGCTCAGACGTTCAGCAAGTCGTCGTGGCATGCTCCTAATCAACCATCCAATCACGATTTGGGGCAATCTTACCCACCCCTCTTGCAGTGCCACGGCCAATTCTTGCAGTGTTGTCGGTTGACGTTGACGTCGACGAACACGTCTCCCGATCAAATTAAACGTAACACACTAAAGCAAGGATACGCTAAACAGTAAATCTTATGCAAGAACCGGTAGGAAAGCAAACATAGATAGATCAACC